CCAATCCTTTCATCTTGCCTTGATTAGCTTTACAGTGAACCCGAAGTCCGTTCGTGCGCTCAATCACGGATAGTGCTGTATAAGTCTATGTGTTAGAAAACCACGGAGAAATTAAATGGTAAAGCACTTACAAACCACTCGACACTATTGTCCATGAAGCCAAGGATGAATTCCGTTCCCTTGTTGCTCTTACCTGGGGAATGACAGAAGATGTTACTGAGGTTTTGTCTTGTGTGATTTTTTTTTCTTTTAATTGCACAGCTTCTTCTTTGTACATTTTCTTTCTTTCCTTAAAAGAACGTTGGTTTGACCTGATTTATGGGGTTTGGTGGGGGCGGGGTGGGGGGAGGGATTTTTTTAGGGGTATAATATAACAAAAAGGGGTGGAAACAGGAAATTAGAAGCACAAACAGACATACTTACTCGTAGAGCTATGCTCATGCAAATTCTACTTCATCCCCTTCCATAAAACAAATATATTAGATGTACCTATTTTGTTTCAGACACTCAGGAACAGTCCTCAGATCACGAGCTGGAAAGTTTTCCAATGTGTTTCTCAGCTCAACACAAATTAACCAGCATGGGAAATGATAATTTTTAATATGCAAGTGTGTCGCAAACCGTGTTATTGTAAGAACCTTGATTTTATTTATCCTTGTCAACAAACTCGGACACATCTTTGGTCAATTCAACAGAGGTACAAAATGTACTATTAATGGCAACTTTAAAGAGTTTTACTTTTATTATAGAGGTTTACAACGATTCAACAGTTGGAAGTGTAAGGAGAAGACAATTAAGGGGGAGACATAATGACAATAAAAGGAGAAATCAAAAATACACGTAAAAGCGACCCAAATCGGCAGAGAAAAAGATGTGGACAAATTAACATGTAGCTTACGAAAAACATGTTTCAAAAAGCAACAGTAGATTCAGCTTTAAAGACTAACATTCACAGTGACATTATTTCGGACAAATTATCAACAACAACAAAAAATATTGTTCCAACCACACCAACAAATTAGTCCGTTCACTGACCTGCCTGGGCCGGTTGGGCTGACATCAACGTCATCACCAGCACCCCACACAACACTAATCCTGCTGGGATTGCCATAGTGAGTGAAGTAACCTGGGGCTCCCGTGGTAAAGTTTTACATTCCAGACTGTTCGACAAATCTCCCTCCTACACGCCGCTGTGTGATCAAAGACGAAGCAATGACGGTTAATCATCTTCATGTTTCTAGATCTAGCTTATTTGTCGCGGTTTTGATTTGCTGTTTTCTTATTGTTTAGCTCATTGTTTGTTTGTTTGTTGTTCTTTTAATTGGGGTGGGGGGTAGGGGGAATTTTTTTGGTTAACCCATGCACTTTATTAATCTTCATCATTCTCTTTTTTCCTTCAGCATCTCAAAGTTTCTCCCTCCTTCCTTAATTTGTAGCTGGTCTTTCCTTCCAGCTTCCCCCCCCCCCCCCCCCCGACTTCTTTGTATGTTTGTGTCGAATCGATTATATATATTACGCTATATTTGTGTCGAATAGGCTATATATTATGATATATTTGTGTCAAAAAGGCTATATATTATTATGCTATGTTTACGTAAATCTGATTATGTACGTTTCTTTGTACATTATAGAATACATAATAGCCTACACGAAATTCATTGACAAATGTTTACATTGTTACACAGATATACTACAAATGTTTTCTGAATCCATAACGTCTGCTCGTTCTCAAATTTCTACACCTCGTTACAATGTCATTATTTTTTAAACTTTGAATCTGTTATCGCCTTCTCCTTTCCTTATTAATGATAGGATAAATAAATAAGGATATTAATACAACGATTCATCTTAAGATACAGCACATTACGATAGAGCTCTTACCTTTGCTGGTGTCACTAATCCTCTGGAAAAGCCTCTAAATCGCTTTTGGAACTATTAGCTTTCTGTGGGCCGAGATCCAACCAACCTTAGACTCTGTTCCGCAAAGGGGTGCTTCTGTTATATATCGAACACCTTGCTTAACAGCTTTATCAAAATCTGAAGTGATAATTGTTTGTCTCGAACTGTTCAATTCTTTAAGCACCATATTTTAGTCATGAGTTTTGGGATCAGGCTAAGTCAAAATGGACCTATGTCTGTATTTATTTTGGTTTTACTGTCGGGCCGTGTTCAAACGGTTTCCAAAACAATCGCGCTCTTCTTAAAGTGACCTGTTTATCCACATTATTAACGTTTATGTTGAAGTCAAAATCTAATCCTTGAGCGAACATTTAAGTTCAGAATTTGGAGTTCCTCACACAAGAACCACAAACTACGTTGCTGCTTTCGGAACACGGCTCTGGGTAAGTACTTTGGTACTTAAACCAGTTAATGGACCGTTTTTGTGTCAAAAGGTCAGGACTGATGTAATATCTATTACAACATATTGGCACTTGTTTTAAAATCACATTTGCTTGCTCTCTCCAGGGGAAACATTTCAATTTCTTAGTTCAAAATTTTGGACGTTTTATTTTGGATTTAAAAACAGTATACTATATTTAAATACATGTGCAGTTTTACGTATAAAGAAAGAAATATTTCCGGAAATTGAGTGGACTTGATAGTGTTTAAGATAATATTATGCTTTCTTGGAGGTGGGTTATGGGGAAAGGGAAGGGTTAGTGAGAAAAAAGACATGAATAATTTGTAATGTTGTTTGAGAGCTTCATCGGCTGGACATTAATTGTTTTGATATTTGTTTTCTCAATTGTGGTTCTGCCTGTCTGCAGTCCGTGTGTCTTTCTGTATGTGTGTGTTTGTGTAAGTGTGTGTGTTTGTGTGTGTGTGTGTGTGTGTGTGTGTGTGTGTGTGTGTGTGTGCGTGTGTGTGTGTGAATGTGTGTGAATGTGTGTGTGTATGTTTGTATGAGCGAGTGTGTCAGTCTCTCTCTATCGTACTCTCCCTCTTTCTCTCTCTCTTTCTCTCTCTCTCTCTCTCTCTCTCTCTCACACACACTCTCTCTCTCTCATGTTTCCCCTCCACCCTTCCATTCACGCACACATTAACACAAACACGCACACACTCACATACATAAACACAAACACACAGACACACACACTCAGTCCTGTTCCCTTGTTTTATTTTTGTTAATGAAGACTATCTCTGTGTTAAGTAGAGATAGAAAAAAAGAAGAAAACAATAAATACGACATCTTCTGTAAGTGAGCCGTTACTGCCGGACTTGAACGTGAGTCCTTTCTAAAACAAACGTAGTCCTGTCTTACATTGAAGCAATTCCCTGTAGCGGACGGATAAGAAAACAGATTTCTAAAACATTTTATCAGTGACAATTTGAAGTATGTTTCAAAAGTTCACCCCCTCCCCCACCCCACCCAGGGCAGAGCTACTGACTGAAGTTGTCTTTAGGCCATTCCCAAAGGAGGGGGGGGGGTATGAACATGTTCTTATGAACTGTAGAATGAATTGTAAATGGACTGATTTATCTATATCGTGCTCATATTGTGCCAGAACAACATAGAGGGAACTCCTGCTTTTACTTTCGTCATCCTTACTATCGTCATTTTTCCTCTACTTTTTATGTATGTTTGTCTCACTCTCTTGTGAACTGCTATTTCCAGGGTGTCTTGATAGTCGAAGCAGACTTTGTGCTAGAGGGGTGAGCAGAGTAAGCCTGATTCCCCGTTTGGACTTCTCTGTTTACATCCACCCCTTGGTGCTCATATGACCTTATGCAGTTGTGAGCGCCGCAAAACCTTACGAAAGCTAAAAAATGTTCATAGGGCAAAATCTTATGTGACACCCGCCCCCCTCCCCCCCCCCCTAATATACAGTGTGGCAAGTCCTAACCGAAAGGACTAACCTTGTCACGCTTTTGACATTTATATCCGAGACGGTGAAGCGTGTCTACGGTTATCCAGATTACAGAAGATTTGGAAAAGGCGGCGGCGGTAAAGAACCGTTGCTCGTACTGGGCTTGTGGTCAAATGATCTTTTAAGACGGGCGATAAAACTCTGCTATAGTTATGATTAATTATTCTCCGGTTTCTTTCGCTCTTTTGTAGTTTAAGGCCACTTTTAAAGAGAATGGCTTCCCTTAAAACATCTTTCCGTTGTTAGAACGTAACTTACAACAAAAGTTATGAGACAGGCACCATCTTTAGTTTTATATATTTGTCCGATAGGAGCGGGGTAAAAAAAGAAAAATTCCCAGGTCAACCTAAGTCTGAAAGTTCAGAGTTTGATTTTTTTTCGAGTATTTCGAACTTTCTCCTGGGACGATGTATCTCTCAAAGCCCGGGTAGGCCCTGACAAGTAGGATCGAAGACCCCTACTTTGATTATTTAGAATTTTGTTCGACGAGGGCGTAAATATACCCCATTAGAAAAATATGTCCTTCCTTCCCGCAAAGAAATTTTAAAAGGGAAAAGAAAAAAGAAAAAAGAAAGAAAAAAAACACAGTGAAGGAACCTTACTTAGAAAATCACGTAAGTGTATGCGTTCAGCAAGAAATGAATTTGGCTGCAACGGGTTCGGACTTAAAGATCATGATTTTTGGCAAACAAAGGCTGTGCTATAATAGTATAATAAATGAGTGACCTACCTCTGCATTTAGTGTAATCACGTTATTGACCATATGAGATTAAGGTGACTCCCGTGAAGATTAATCCCTTATATAAATCCTCCTGGGCTGCTAACACCAGTCAACTGCTTGACATACTAAGGTTTCTGTGTTTCATTTTCGCTTCTCCTGAGATAACAGAGTGTGTTTAGGAGTGGCATGCTCTGATTGTCGAAGGCAATGTCCGGATTTTGTTTCAGGTTTGTTATTACCCACCAGAAGAGCTGCATATTGTCTTCGTGAACTACAACTGAACCAGCTCTAACGACCACCTGTCCAAGACAATCACATGTACAAAAGACCACTTCTCACTTCCCCCCTTGCTTTTTTTTCTTCATATGTTATAACGACCCCGTGAAAAAGACAATCTGTCTAAGATGACCACATTTCTTCTCAATAGTGGATGGTTGTCTTGGACTGGTTCTGCTGTGTTTCTGATCAGACTAAATTATTAAGGTTTCATTGATCGTATAGGGAGAAAGGATAAAAAACATTGCACTAACAGTTAAGAATCGATAGAATCAAGAACACTCCTAATGATTAGGTATGTCTTCTTACTCTTTTGGACCTTTCGGCTGCATTCGATACCATTGATCATGGTATTTTACTCGAGAGATTAAATACTACTTTT